CCCCCCGCTCTCTTAAGTCCCTTTCTTTTCTCTCTGGTCTGGTCTATGTCTGAGGCTTTTGTTAGATGCTGGTGATCCTTAACTGTGTCTTCATATTTAAGAGGAAGACATTCAAAAGTATCTCTGAAAATGGACCATAGCCTTTTGGCTCCTTTATAATCGTGCCGTGAATTCAACTCTTTTGGTTGGAATATTCTCAAATGTCAGAACTCGGACATTTTATTTTCTGGGGAGAACGGGGATGAGCCATGCAGTCCCTGGAAGATTCCTCCTCTGCTCTGCTGCCGGGGCAGTTTTATACGTGGGTGCTGGCGTTCTGTGCAGAGGGTGTCGGGAGGAGGCAGAGGTGATATTCTCCCTCATCCCAGCCTTCTGTGCCTCGTATTTCTCAGTCTGGAGCTTCTGTGGCTCAGTTTTTCCAGAGAATAAAACTTTCTTTTCCCCAGCAAGAGGAGGTGGTAAGAGGGGGTTAGTCCCTTGGCTGTGGGGGATTATGAGAAGACCCAGTAGTTCTGCCCCCAGCCCCGTCTCCGCCGGTCATGGTAACTGCCCCTCCAGAGCTCAGCCTCACAGGGCTTCTGTGGGCCTGATTAGCTCCACCCTCACCTTTATTCCCTCTGGGCACTTGAGTGATAACTTCCTTTTACTCCTTCATCTCCTGACTGCCTTTGAAAAATTTATGAAAATCTGCTCTCATTAGCTCTCCCTTTCTCTTCTTTCTTGTGGGTTAATACATTTATTTTATTCCTCTACTGTCTTTTAGAGGGCTTGAGAGGGAGAAGAGATAAACTAATGTGTTCAATCTGCCATTTTTAACTGATTCTGGCATGCATTTTTCCAGGCGGGGTATTATAAATGCTGATTAGATGTTGTGTAGAACTAGCGGTGCTATTCCTCATGTATGTTGTTATGGGTTAAATAGGTTTCTGTGGGCTGACCTGGAAACCTAACTACATCTATGATTTTCCCCTAGAACTAGAGAAACAATCAAGCTTCTCTGAGTTGACTCTCTGGAGGAATTATAACAGGCTAGAGTGCAAATATTTCACATACCTCTCCATTTCCCGATTCTCAGAGAAGATTACAAATATTGTGTCATCGTCAAAATTAAAAGCTCCAATAACTGTAACCGAAACCCAAATTTTAATGGAAAAGTTTGTTCATAAAGTTCAGCTATAAAAATTGAACTGAGAAGCAAAATTGAATTCTCCAGCAGTACCCCTAAAGCTTCATTTTTTTTGCCCCTGCAGCTTTTCTGAAAGCAGTTTTCCTAATTAAATTTAAACCCAGTTATAGTGATAGCTGTGGGAAATAGTAATGGCCATGGGAATGGTTTACTTATATTTTCTTGCTACTTTCTTATTCCTACCTTGCGCACAACAGGATCTTTTAAAATACTGGACTGAATAAACTAGACTTGGCCAGGCAGACCAAGAAAACCATCTCCCTAATCACGAATGACTAAGAATAGCCATGCAAGGCACTTGGGTAGTGCAAATGCAACCCAGCATATGTAAAGTGCACAGTGCTGGAAGATAAACGCTGCACCAACCTGCCGTTTGAATTGCTGAGGCCACTGCAAGTGTAATGGATCCACTGCAGTTGTGCAGTCCAATTTTCAGCCTTGGGGAAGGGCATATGGGGCTTTCTTCCAGAGGATCACCCTTTTGTGCGGGGGCAGCCTTCCATGAGCACTTGCTCCCAGTGGCCATGACAGCCCCAGTCTCAAGGGATCAGAGCCGATTAGGAAAACCAGGAACGGTTGTTGTAATCTCTTATGTGGCTGGAATAAGGTAAGGGCAGTGAGATGCAGTCATTCCATTATTTCCTTTTTTCTTTCTCTTCTTTATCTAAATTTTTTTTTATTATTACCCTCTCCCCCCTTTTCCCTCCCATCCTTGCTTTTGACAGCATATTGACTAGGGACCAGAAGCCCATTTTTGCTCAGCCTTAAGGGCAGCTGTTTACAGAGTAGCAGCGTTACATAGGTTTACTGTGTCGTATGTCTGTGTAACACTGGATTTGGATCTTGTATTTAGCTGCCAGAAGTGACTGTGATGAAGTAGGAGAGATAAACTGATAGATTGGCTGCCAGAAAGGTGTTGGGAATCAATCAGATAAACAGGGTAGAGAAATAGCTTGCTGTTTTCTGGTGATAATAAACCAGTGGCCTCTGGTCCCCACATTTTAAACATAATTGCTGTAGTAATAATGTCCAAACTAAGCAAATGAAGAAAACATCACAGGCAGGTTTTTAATTGCAACTGAGCTATCCTTTTCCCTTTTGCTATAAAGATTAATCTTATATGGAAATGAATATTTTTATAAATTTGTTTTACCTCTTCCAGTGCCTGCTTACATAAACAAATGAAAATGAGAGCATGAGCTACTTTCATAGGAATTTATTCCTCCTTCTTGTCCCTCCCACAAACTTCAGCTATTTAACTTGGTGAAATATCTATGTTGCTGCCATGCCTCACCTATGAAACAATTACTTATTTTTGTGGAGAGACAAGTTTTAAAGTCAACCCTTATTATTGACAGATGATTAGCAGGAACTAGTTTATTTTGGTGTCTCCCCATAGATTTCTCTCAGATTTTTGGAATTTGCACCTCTGTTGCCATTTCCCTGCATACATGTAGCGCTTGTACAGGAGAAATGATCTGCAGTTTTGTTATTGTAATTTAAAGCTCTCCTCCTTGAATGTTGACCTTTTAAATCCATTGCTTCTCTTTACCTAGGACTTTAAGATCCAATGCAAATGCTCAGGTCCGTGGGAAAGATGTAGATTTAGGCTTTGATTGCATGCAGTGGACTCTACCCAGGACCAAGAGGAGAGTAGGTTAGAGTTCCCATGGAGTTAATTGTATAGGATTAGAGACTGGTTTTCTGTGTTGTATTTGCTGTACACACATATGTCTTTCCTTAGGTTCCCTTTTAAAATTACTGTGGCTGTGAATGTGTTGATGTCACATATAGTTAAATCACTTAATAGTTAGTAGGGTAGAGTACCAGCTATGGAAAGCAAGAGAATGAAGTCCACACCTTTAATTATATATAATAAAGGCTTTTGCCTGAGGAAGACCTTCCTGACTGCTGGGGGTTAGAGGTCAGAAGTTAACCATGTACCATTATCCTATTGGTGAAAAGCTGATGCATCTTCCTTTTTGCCACACAGCCCTTCCCACCTGACCTTTTAAAGATTCTCCATTGATATCGATGAGGTGGACAAAACTAATCATAAAAACAATGAAGGGGATGTTGCAGACTCATTGATCCATTTGAAATGAACTGCAGTACAATAATTCTTCCAAATGGACTTCTGTTCTCAGCTATTGCTCTAGCCACCTTTTTAAAGATATATAAATATGAAAGGGTTAATGGGATTTCAGTCATGCTCCTGTCACTGGGTTGTCCCTTATTGATTGTAGTTTTAGAGATGTCACTGTGCCATTCAGAATTCCTACTGTGCCCTTTTAAAGTTAGTTGGTGCTGGGAGATGATAAATAAATCAGTTGCTTTCCTTTTTCCCCTAGCTCCTTCGAGAACTCATAGAACGGAAGACCAGCTCATTGGATCCCAATGATCAGGTGGCCATGGGAAGGTAATTTAGATACGGCTTTCTATTTATGCAAGCGGCTTACATAATAGTTTCTCCCTTTGATTCCCCTGGATTCTGCCTCCAAGGCAATGATTGGCCCTATATTAAAGTTGAGTAAGATTATAAGAGCTAGAAAGACAATGTGATGGAAACCTTAATTGTTTACCCTACATTGCCTTACATGCAGATTGAATAAGAGATGATAGATATGTGTTTGTTCTAGGGTTTGTTTTTCAGAGTCCTTTTTATGCTCTGTGCTCACTGATTTGGGTTGTGACTGTATCTGTATCAATCTCTGACCAGTGGACAAAAAGCAACCCCAGATGTGTGCTCTCAGCTGTCAGACGTGGCGCTGCGCACAACAGGTCCTTTGCTCATAGCCGAACCTGCTTTGTTAGAGTGTGCCCTGATTTAGACCTCTACCCTTCAGTAAAAGCCTCAGCACGATTAGAAATGGAACGTGGCAGCATCACCCAGACGTCAGGGGAGCATGTGAAGTGGTGAAGGAAGGCCCTTGTGTGGGCGTGTCACCCTGTGGTTGGAAAAGAAAAAGAGCACCTCGAGTGCTACCTAGTGAACAGTGTCCATTTAAATAGCCACGAGCCATAATTTGCAGAAGCCTGAAAGGGAACAAAAGCTGCAAGTGCCAGAGTGGGAGTCTGTGCAGAGAAGCATTTGGGGAATGCAATGAAAAGTTTGTGTTGACGAAATAATTTTATTTGAGTAAAACATTTGAATTTTAGGATAGGATGTTGTTGGTATTTTGTGTCTCTCTGGAATATTATAGAGAGCTGCTCACTATAAATTTAATGTGATAGAGCAAATTGTATTTAAGTGGTGATTATATTGTACATTTATCTCACTTTACAATAAAATAGATTATGGTAATTAAGATTATATTAAGATTACGGTAATTGGATTTCCCTAGATTTTTTTTCCCTGACGTTGAGTTTTCATTGTATAAATCAGGTAAGATGACGAGCTGCTGCTGTTTTTCCCAATTCGTTTTTTCACATTTGTTCATATGAGCAATTTATGAAGATTTTCTAAGCCCAGTATCTTTTATTTGAAAAATTAATTCCTTTTCATCTAAACTGACTGCAGAATATGTGACTCTTGTTTGGATCTTGACTCTAACAAACCAGCTGTAAAATTGAGACAATCTGGGAAATTTGAAGACTGACCAAATATTTGATAGTAAAGAATTATTGTTAACTTTTTTTAGGTATGACAGTGGTATTGAGATGATGTTGGGGAGAGGGGAGGAGACCCTTTACCTTTTAGCAACACATTCTGAAATATTACAGATTAAATAAAAAATAAATAAAATGACTGTAAAACTGGTATCAGTAGTGGATAATTATTTTAAAATTAGCAAAAATTGGAAAGCACAAGAAAAAGCAGTTGGCTTAATTAACAAAGGCAAAATTAGATTTAAAGAATTCATGTGTTTGAATCACACAATTTGCAGTATTAGCAATAGAACTTGCTGCACAGCTAAAACATTAAAAGCAAACCCAAGCAGCTGTACTCAGTTTGATGGGTTTTTCCACAGACTGGTATATTTAGAGCTTGTCACAGCAACTCCAAATACTAAGGAGCATTGTTAACCAAATTTGCTGTAGAATTTCCCAGCTGCCATTTGTTTTTTTACCATTGCACAGATCCTCTTCAATTGATTAGCCGCTTTGGCTCCAGACTGTCTTGAGGAACTTCATGTAGGTTGATGATTTCTTTCTGCAGGGTTATTAGTGGGAAAAATTCCAATTTGTCAATACGTATAACTATTTCTGTTAGTGATGATGCATAACATTGCTTGTGAATTTCCCAGGCAGTGGCTTGCAATCCAGAAGTTACGAAGCAAAATCCACAAGAAAGTAGATAGAAAAGCCAGCAAAGGAAGGAAACTTAGGTGAGTTACTTTTTAGAAAAAAATTTCAGCATGTTATGTTACCATCTCTCTTCTCTTGCATTTTGTCTATTATGTCATTTTTCTATTCTTCTGGTGATTCTGGTTTCAAAGATCAGAAAAATAACTGAAACAATATGTGAGACTTTTTTCAACTCAGTTTTCCTTACTCTAAAATGGAAATACGGTTTTAGGGGTTTTTTGTGCTACTCTTGTAAATGGGTGGTTATGTACTATCTGCCTTTCTCTGAAAGAGAAATACTAAGTAAACAAGATAAGGTAGTTAAAATTGTCTTGGTTTTAAACAGTGATTTCTATAGAACAATATAAAAATTTTATTTTGGAGTCTTATTTAGAACAGGATTATACTGGTTTATTTTCATGATGCTCTACGTGTACACAGTATGCTAAAAAGATATAAAGATTCCAGAGAATGTTTCCAATATGCTTAAATGAGATGAGAAAGAATTTTTATGAGAAAACCGAGAAATTTCTGAAAACCCTCAACCCTGTGATCTCTTTAAGGAGTCTTATAAATACACAGAAAAAAAGGAGTAAGAATAGGAAGTGACATTTCTATGCTTTTAGACTTAGAGTCCTTGTAACTATATATAATACATAATATCAGTCACACAAAACCTCTGTGTCAAAGAAACTATTTGTAATTCAGGTGCACATTGGAAAAAAATCTTAATCTCATTGTGTTAGGACAGTTTTAGGCAGGTGGCTAATCCCACATCATTATTAGAACCTGCCTGTCATTAAATTCCCTTTGGGCAAATGTGGATCTGTGTCATTTTTAAATACCTTCAGAGAAGCAGATTTCACAACTTTACTGAACCTGTTTGAATATTTAACAAAACTCATCAGGAAACGCTTACTTTTCTATAACTTTGCAGAAATTAAACTTTTTCATGTGTTGAGATGTCCAAATCTTCATACTTCTCACAGTGTCGTTTTTAGTGTAGTTATTAAGAGCATGTACTCGAGAGTCAGACTGCCAGGGTTTGGATCCCAGCTTTGACATTGACTAGTAGTTACTTTGGGCAAGACCCTTAGACTCCCTGTCCTAGTGTCTTGTCTGTAAAATGGGTGTGATAATAGTATGGGCTTGTAGGGTTGCCGTGAGGAGTAAGAGAGTAAGTATATGTGTTGTTCTTAGAACAGTGCCAGGTACATAGTAAGCACTATATAAGTATGTGTTGCCATTATTACCATCATTATTATTGCTATTACTATTCCAAGATTGGGTCTGTCTCCTGCTCTAGTGTTTGTGTACTTGCTTGCTTACATGCATGCCTCTTTCGTACCTGTCTCCTACACCCGCCACCCCTGTACGGACTTTAAAAAGAAAGTTACTAATAGTACTTTATAATTGACCAAGCTTATTCTTTAATTTTGAGATCAGATTTTTCTCCAATAGTGTGCTTTAAAAATTATAGCTGTATGAGGCAATGCATGGTCTCTACAGTGAGGAGCCCAGGATTTCAAATCAGAAGACTTGGGTTCAAATTCTGGCTCTGTTCTCTATTCTCTGGGCCTCGCCTTTCTCATTTATTGAGTGGAAATACTAATCCCTACTTTTAAGATTTGGTTTGAGGAATAAAATAATGTGCAGATGTCTGGTATATAGAGCAAGGGTTATGCCACTTTATCCTTTAAGATGAGTCCAGCCTTATTATTGGCTATAGTACCTTATAGACATTAGTCAGCCAGCCAGCGTTTTCGGATGACTCTGATGATAAAAGGAACATGCTCATCAGGTAATGAGAAATGGCAGTAAGTCTAAACGTAACACAGATTAAGAAATCTGGATGAGTGTTGGAGAAGTAAGCATAGCAAATAATTCAGGAGAACTACAGGTCTGTTGTTTCCCAAATCAGAATACATTTATCAGAGTTGTTATTGATAAGGTTAAACATTTTAAAAAAAGGATTTTGTTTTAATAGTAACTGCTTTTCTTGTATTTATTTATTAAACCTCATTAAACTGTTCATCAGAGGTGTCACTGCAATTCTATATTTCTCTGTTTTTTAATATTTTTATATTGAGATTATAAATCCAGAGGCATTTGACATCTTATTCTGGCAACAGGCAAGCAGGAGATAGATATTCTACTAAACAGGGATAAACATTAAAATGTAAGAAGTGGTTTATTAAAATATTAGAAGGGTTCCTTCTAGAAGTCATATTTGGAGCTGGGTAAGACCCATTCTGCCCTCGAGGGGCATGTACTCTGCAGACGATGGCAGACAATAATCAGTAAGTGATGCTGTGTGGGAGGTGCTTTGGTAGAGATCATGCTGGTTATAGGGGTTACCTGACTCACTCTGGGGGATCACATACTGCTCAGGAAGACTTTCCATAAGGTGTAGCATCCATACTTCACACTGAGCTGTCTAGGAACAGTTAACCCAGTGAAAGGCCAAGAAGAGTACCATTTGCAAAACTGTGTCTTGAGAGTATACATGACCATCTGGGGAACTGCAGTTCATTTGTTTTGGCAAAGACTTGAAGTCAGTGTGGAGCAGGAGAGGCTGTAGGAGTAGTGAGTGCTGGATCACAGCCAGTCCAACAGTCTTGGACTTGGTTCTATAGACTGTAGTGGTCATTTAAGACTTTAGGCAGAGGGGTGTTATTATCACATTTCAGCTGCATTTTAGAAAGATGTAAGGAGGTAAAGGAAAGTGAGAAGGTTAGAGTTGACTCTCAAGAGTTTCAGAGGGAGGCTGCAATAAGGAAATCAGTTTTTTGTCTTTGAGGGAGAGAGTAGATTCAGTTTTTTAACGTGCTGAATTTGACACAACCTTGAGAAACCCGTCATAAAACATCATACAAATCCAAATTGTGAGACATTCTCCTAAATAACTCATCAGTACTTATCGCAAGTGTCAAGGTAATGAAAAAACAAGGAAGACTGAGGAACTGTCACAGAGGAGGAGGCTAAGGAGAGATGCACAACCAAGTGCAACGTGGGGTCCTAGATTGGATCCTGGAAAAGAGAAAGGCTGTCGGGTAAGAACGGGGGAAATCTGAGTAAGGTCTGTAGTTTAGTTAATAGTATTACAGCAGTGTTAATTTCCTGATTTTCACAATTACGCTATGTTAGGTAGCATTAGAGGAAGCTGGGTGAGGTTAAACATGAATCTCTGGACTATGTTTGCAGCTTTTCTGTAAGTCTAAAATTATTGCAAAATAAAAAGTAGAAAGAAAAGTAATGAAAATGGTCATGTGTTTTGTTTTTCAGTTTGTCATCCATGTTCACCTGGGTCTCCTTGACCATACACGTGAGGGGTGTGGTCAGAATCCGAGAACGGTCTTTACTAATAGCAGTAGTGATAACTAACATTTATAAAACTCCCTGTTGGGCCCTGCAGAGATAGAAAAAGCACAGCTGTGGTGCTAAACTGTCTAGGTTCGACCTACTGACTAGCCTTGAGACCTTGAAACACGTTACCTTATACCTCTGTACTGTAATTTCCTCATCTGTGAGGAATGAAGTAAAAAGTCACATCTCATAGGCTGTTATGCTGATTAAATTAGCTAATTCATGTAAAGTGGTTAAAGAAAATAACTCACCCAGCATTACAGAGCTGGTTAGTAGCAAACAGGGATTTGAGCTAATTGCCCTGATTCCAGGGCCCATGCATCTCACCTCTGGCTGTTGAGTTCTCTGGCAGGACCAGTTGGCCTCTGTAGGCGCCAAAATGACAGCTGGGCTACATTAGCATTCTGTCCTGAAGGATTAAACCAAGTGGCCCGGGCTAGATGAGAATATTGTGAACACTTCTTTAAAGTAGACCTCAACAAGAGCTGGTAGAGTATACTAGCTATCATCACTGATACTAGGGTCTACCATTGAGCAAGTTTTGTTCTTTGTTTATGATAGGGTTGGAAAGATAAGATTTTCCAGAATGTTATGGCAAAAATGAACATTATCTTGTGGCAATATTAGTTGAAATGATAGCAGGTTAGTGGCATCAGCCTGGTCAGACTAGGCCTGGCACCTTGCTAGTTGGATACTAGAAAATAATTTAGAAGAAATAATATTTTGGCCCCACTGGAGTGGCTCAGTTGGTTGAACACCATCCTGTGCACCAAGATTCCCAGTCAGGGCATATACATGGGTTGCAGGTTTGATCTCCAGTTGGAGAGCGGACTGTAACCGATTGATGTTTCACTCTCCCCTCCTATATATATATCCCTTCCTCTCTCTAAGCATGTATATATCTTCCTTCCTCTCTCTAAGCATGTCCTTGGGTGAGGATTAAAAAAAGAAAGAATATTTTTGTGTTTAGAAATAATTATCATTATTATCAGTATTTTACACAGCAGTATATATAAGTAGATTTCACTGTGATTTAATCAGAACCCATAATGTAAATGACTGAACTTTCAGGTCTTTAGTAATGACATGTCTTACTGTGTTTGTCTCTTCTTCTGCAACAAAATTACATTTATCTTTTCTTAGTATGGTTGGTAAAAGGTGTTTTAATACTAAAACATGCTTTCATCCTCAGCATTACTGAGATTAGATGAAATGCATTGCGTTAAGTACACATTACTGAATGTCTTTAATCTGATTACTTCTTCAAGCCTGTCTTTCATCACGCAGTGAACAGTTACTGAACATACTGCATTATAGCGTAAGGGTATTCCACAGAGCAGTGCCATCCAGTAAAAGTATGTGTTACATATGTAGTTGAAATGCTCTAATAGCTACACTGGAAAACTAAAAAGAAACAGGTGAATGTAATTTTAATATATTTCATTTGACCCAATATATAAAAAATATTGTGACTGAAGCTCTGGAAATCAGACTTATGTTTTATTCAGCTGTGCTCGTTCATTTAAAGATGGGGGGAATGAAAGACCCAGTGGAACTAGTGAGTAGAAATGATGTGGAGTTCTACAGGCCTTTTCTTACTCAGGAAACCAGTGCTATTGAGTGATATTGGTGGTGAGGATTCATTCAGGTATTATACCGCTCACTGCCTGTGCTCCTGCCACTGGGTAAGCTTTAATGACATTAAAATGATTAAGATATATATAGAGGTGAGAAATGGGGTAGTCAAGTCCTCATTGTCTTTTGTCTGGAGATGTTTAAGGGTTAGTATATTCCTCAAGGGCACAGTGTATCTGTGTTTTGGGGGGCTGTGATATAAATGGATTCGTGTTGAACTGTCATTTATAATATGCTGTTACTAGACTTTCTTCCTGTGGCATGAAGGAAAAAGAGTTCTATAGTTGTGAGCATTACACACCTGTCATTGTTCCCTCTTCAGCTCTGGAGCCAAATGTTCCTGTGCTTTTCCCAGTTTGTTAGCTCATAGAATGTGTTTCTTTCTCTAGTTTAATAGTTACTAATGTTGCTGCCTATTTCCTGCTTTATTTAGGTTTCATGTCCTTAGCAAGCTACTAAGCTTCATGGCACCTATTGACCATACTACAATGAATGATGACGCCAGGTGAGTAATAGATTAATTATGTGTCTCAAATGGCTTCATGACAGCCTGATATTGACCTGTTCTACAGCCCGTCACCCTCTCCATTTCTTCTTATCAGTTAACCATTTGTCATTGGCATCATAGCAAGGGTCCTTGTCACATCTCTTCACTCCCATAATTACTGTAAAACCAAAACAAAATTTCCATACATCTCAATGCTGCCTCTGGTGGTTTTTTGTTTGATTTTGCTGTTTTGTTTTTTTAACTTTAGCCACCTGCCCAGCTCATCTGAGCTCTTGTCTAGTTCAGACAGGTCAGGACAGCACATGCACTTGATTTATGTTTGGGGGTTTGTGCATATGCTGTCCTTTTAAAAATGGCTGTAGAGATTACTGTAGAGATGTGCATTATGCTGTGTTCAGGCTACTGTCGAGAATTTTTTTTTAAGTATTTTTATAAAAGAAGCACATGCTCATTTTAGAAAGCTGAAACAAAATCGAAATGTATACTCAATATTATAATTTAGAGATAGCCATTTAAAAAATAATTCCTTCTGTATTTATTAGTTCGCAGTCTACTATAATGTAATATTTTTGTAAGATTATTTACTTACCGTTCATTTCTATGGACTCATGCTTTCCTATTTTATTCAGTGAATTATAATCTGTTCATATTATTTATTTTGATTTTAACTTGTCCCACATTGATGGACACCTATTCAAGTTGGCTTGTGTCCTTTTGAGATGTCCCCAGTTATTCTTTGAGTTCTTTCTGATGTTCTGGCACAAACAGAAAGCTGTTCTAGGCTCATCTTATACTTTTCCTGTTCCAGCTCTGGAATCAGTCTCTCTCCAAGGAACCCTGATTCCTTTCAGTTGATTGTGGTATTTAGAAACCAAAATCTGGGTGCTAGGTGTGCTCCTTTTCACTGGGTGTCATTGTTTCTAGGCTCTTTCAACATTCAGAACTAGGAAGTGTGTGTATACATACATAAAAGATAACCACTTTTAACATGGCAAAATATTTTCTCTTAGTCTTTGAGTTTGCTTTTTCTATAATTAAAATTATATTCCACTATTATGAATTTTTCTTTAAATATTTTGTATACTGTGAGCATTACGCCATTAAAATTATTCAAAAATTTGTAATGATTGTGTAAACTTTTAAATATTACTTATTTAGCCATTCACTAATTATTGGACATTTAAATTGTTTTTAATTCTGATTGTTGCAAATAATGCTGTGGTAGATATTTTTAAACATAAATCTTTACCAAGTGAACTGATTGGTTATAATGTGGCACATGTGGGTTTTGCCATCTTTAAACCTCAAACTGCATTTAACCTTTTTATTTGCATGTATTTAGTTTGCTACTAAATCCTGTCAGATTCTCCCCTCTCCCTTTCCTATAAATCAGTAGATCTGCAGGTTTAGGTGAGGGCAGTGATTGTTAATTTTTTGTTTGCTTTGTTCAGTGCTTTGAGTATAAAACAGCTTATGGATAGTTCTGAATATGTTTATACTCAGAATTTTGTGACCTCACATTTTCTTTTGTGCTTTGCAAGTGAATGCGTATGTATAGGCTGTTTTTGTTTTGTTTGTTTTTTCATTCATTTCTAGATTGGTTTGTTTTTTAAAAGAGTAAAATAGTGCATCCTTAGTAGACATGAAAAAATTTTATCACCAAGAAAAGAAAACTAGATGCTTAAACCTAAACCCAACCCATTTAGGTAACATTATTATCCCAGGCATAAAGTGAAACCTGGTTTAAACTTTGGTGGCATCTTTTGAATACAGTACTACTAGATCACTTAGAAATCAACTTTTTGTCATTCTTAGTTGGGATTTTTCTTTAATCACCTAAAAATACCCCAGGGCCACTTAGTTTTCCAGAATCTTATTTATTCGCTCATAATGTTTGAAGCTCTGCTGTATCCTAGACATAAAGATTATTTAAGCCCTGGCTGGTGTGGCTTAGTTGGTTGGGCTTCGTCCCATGCATCTGGGGGACGAAGCCCAATAAAAGCCCGGTTTGATTCCTGGTCAGGGCACATGTCTGGGTTGTGGGCTCAATCCCAGCTCTCACCGATGTTTTTCTCTCTCTCCGTCCCTCTCTAAAAATCAATTTTAAAAATCTTCTAAAGATTATTTGAAAATGACTGTGTTATTGAGGATTATGTTGGGCTTGGTCTGTAAAAGACATACAGAGGCATAAGCAAATGGGATTTGTTTTTCTGACAGAATAATTATAGGGATGGGGGCAGTTATCGGCAATGGTTTTCCCATTGTAGTGACCTTAGGGCCGAATCTCCTGGTCTTTCCCCCGGGGTCCCATGGTGGCTGCTGCAGCTTCAGCCACCAGACATGCGTTTGAGGCAGGGAGAAGGGGAGAGGAGTGGTGGTGTCAGCCATACCTGTTTTCTTTACTTCAGAAAAGTGAGGAAATTCTCAGAATTCCCTCAAACAAACTTCTTATATCTTATTGGCCACAACTATGTTACATCGCCACTTCAGGTAGAGCGGACAAAGGAGGAAGGATTGGGAGTGTGTTTGTTGGGTAACAGTCCTTGTGGCTTTCAGTGGGAAAAGGGCTGTCCCTGTGGACTGATGGCTAATTATCAGGATGGCTCTCCAGCCAGGTTAGCCCTTTAAGGAGGAAGCAGAGACCTTTACCCTTTCATGCAGAGAATTCAAATATCCTCAGTGGAGAAAGAAGTACTGCCTTTAAAAGGATCTTGAGGAAGGTGGTGGTGCTCTCACTTCCTCCCGTGGTGTGGTCACGTGCTCTGTGTAGTGTTACCTGTTTAGTTATTTTCTGCTGATACATACTCTTTTCTTGTGCTGCGAATTTTTTTCTTCAAGCAATCTATTTTTTAAAAAACACCATTTAAATGCAAAGTAGCTCAGTTTGCACCCTTGTGTTACCAAATTTCCCTTTAGGGGCTTTTACTTCTAGATAAACTGTGGGTACTGCTTTAAATGCCTCCACCTGCCTTCAGGTCTCCTTAGTGAAAGTCATATAACCTCTGGCACTTTGTACATGCTGGGCCAGTAGATCTTTACTCCATTATGAGGTAGGTAGTTGGTTTCTATTGCAGGCTGATGCACATTCCCGGTATTGAGAGAAAAGAGAAAACCCATGTTGCCCACATGCTGTGTGTTTGCATGTAAGGGAGAGTATTACCATGAACCTAGAAACGCCCACTGGCTCTGCTAAACCGTTGGGTGCCCTCGGCACCGGACTGCTCAGCTCCCAGGGCAGCCACTGCTTGTCCTTCAGTGTCGTTTTGCCAAGAGGCCAAAATATCACGTGATTGTAAAAACAGTTACCAGCGGGCTGAGGAGGCGGAGAGGCTGGCCGACTCCTTGGTAGAGAATTCCTCTAAGCACACTGTTTCCACCAAGAACAGTTCGAGGTGTCACGTGCAGGAGTGCTGTTCACTTCTGTGGCTGTTGAAGGACCCGCAGCTCATCAAGGACATTCCAGAAGCAGCCCACTTTACACGGTGTGAACCCCCTGGAGTGCTGTGAGACCAGAGGGAATGTGAAGTACCAACTCAGATGATCTCTTATTATAGTGCTAACAAAGAATTTGGAGGTTGTGGAAAAAAACCCGTTTTTGGTCTGCTTTTGAAAGCCTCTCTGAGGCAGACTTGTAAAGAAGTTAATTCTTCCTCATTTGTTGTATTGATGGAGATCAGACAGTAAAATGCTGGTGTGACAAGGAGGAGAAGCACATTCTTAGTAAGACCTCAGGGACAGGTCATGCTGTGTTCCTTAGAGCTGGCCACGGCCTCAGATTTGAGGAAGGGAACCCGTGAATGGCTTGCTCTGTTTGCACATGAGGCTGTGCTGTCAGCGTGGGACAGGCCTAAGTGGCAATAGTCAGCTTGATGTGCACCAAAGAAAATAAGTGTTTGCCTTGCACAACTGCTGCTTCAGGAGGGTCCTTATTCTGGTACTGTCCCTTAAAGTAGGTTATTGTGTTGTCCTAAGAAGCTTTTCTTTCTTATTACAAAAATGATAGCAATATTAACATTTTATAGGTACCCCGTTCCTTAAAGAAATTCTCAATAGGAACAGCAGGAATTTCCATTTTGCCCCCCATCCCCATATTCTTCCCCCAAATAAAAAACATTTCTCCCACTCTTCTCATAAGCTACTGGCATTTAAAAAAAGAACCCAGAGAGGATCCTTTAATGATAACCACTAAGCACCGAATACATGATTGTTTTACATCTGGAGTTTTAGGGGGGAAAAGCACACATGTGATCCAGCCTTGTAGAGGGCTTTGGCAGTATCACTGCCACGCTGTCCTGAGGAGCCTCGGAATCATAGAATTTGTACAGGCGGTTTATCTTCAGCTTACCACTTTTGTGTGTGGGTGTGTATCCCAAATGTGGGACAAGATGTTCTTTTCCCCCTGCTTGGTAACCCAAAGGTTACTCAGAGCACTTGTGATTCCCCCTTGCCGACTTTACCCCTGTACTTAATAGAAATAGATGCTGAATTATGCTGAAATTCATAATTCTGGGGTGGTTTGCTCAGGGCTTGAGAGCATATCAGCTAATTATCCCAGAAATACCCTCCACAGAGCACTTTTCGTTGGTTAAAAACTTGCAAGCAAGAATGGTTAAGATATACAGATGTTTTCTCTGAAGCTTCTTATCTCCTAAAAAGACACAGGTTGTTCTGACAGGTGAAACAAGTCCGGGCGAATATGCAGCATTGATCTAATCGGTGTGAGCGAGAGCAACATTTTCTCTGGTGCTGCCTCCCACCAGTGTCATTAAAGGCTCCCATTACTCTTTTATTAGAGGTTCCCTCTCTTCCTTATCAGATTACAGAATGAACATAACTCATGGCAGCGATTTGATCTCTTGTTAAAGAGGATTACAGCTTTGCATTAACTCGGATTGACACAGTTTATAATTCGCCTGTGGATGCCCAGGCGGGCGGCGTCACATGTTTGAGCCCCCAGCAGTGCTGAGGGGAAGGGACCCCCATATATCATCATTAAA